ACGGTCACAAATAAGAGAATCCGTTCACATCGGACTACTGATCAAAAGCTTTACCACACGAGTAACTATCAACCAATCAGTTTCATGCACACTAATGACCAATTAAAAAGCAGTCTTTTCATTCGTAGAAGTAGCGACCAATCAGATTGAGGCGAACAATGTCAAAATAATAAGCATTCTTTTCGTTCGCGTATTGGCCAGGTTTAGGTTTATATTTTTACGCAGTGCCTGTGTTATTACATTGGAGATATAAAAACACATTGCACATATTTATAAAAAATGTGATGATTATTATATATAGAAATACAGTATATTATGTTTTCTCTCTCAGACTAATTAAGCCGCCGGTCAATATCGCATTGCTGACCCTTTTACACTGCAAGAAAAAAAACCTATACACGTTAATAATACTCATCATATTGTCAAGATTTTATTACATTTAATGTTCGTTTATAAATTGTATTGATAGGTCTACCATCCGCAAGAAGTCGAGTATGGTGGAAAGCATGTGCTTGACAAATATGAATAAAGGTCTATTGATCTGTGTACCGTATGCGGCTAATATCGGCGGTACAGCGACCATTACGGGAACAGGACCGAACCTTATCGCCAGTAATCTAGCATCGACGTATGTTTATACTGTTGGTTTGTTAAATGCAATATATACAATTTTAACATTGAATTTTAAAGGGCAAAGATCATCTAATATTTCTTCGTAATATTCAATTTTACGTTTCGCTCTTTCTTCAGAGCCTCATGGCTTTCTTGCGCAATAGGCCTATGTATTGTATTATTATTATTATTATTATTATTATTATTATTATTATTATTATTATTATTATTATTATTACTATTATTATTATTATTATTATTATTATTATTATTGTCATTATTATTATTAGTATATTATTAACATCATCGTCATTGTTGTATGTTTTATTATGATCTATTTATTTATTATTATTATCATTATTATTATTATTATTATTATTATTATTATTATTATTGTTATTATTATCATTATAATGATTATTATATATATAATATGATTATCACCATCATCACCAGACAAACATTATATGTTGTTACATTTTTCCGTCCTTTAGTGATTACGGGTCGGAAGCGGGTGTAAATTTCCTAACGTGGATGTTATTTGCAACCCCAAGTATGTTGGTCTGCCTCTTTCTTGCCTGGCTATGGTTGCAGTATATGTTTCTAGGATGCAGGTAAGTATCACAAAAAAAGATGTTTTGCAATCACAACATTAACATTTCTTCACAATTTACCGACATAGCTCCGTCATTCCAAAGTACACATGCGTAATCATGCACTTTTCTTTGTGCTCAGTTCGTGAAACAGACCGATTGTACGCGCGCACGCCTGGCCATGGACGGACATATTGGAAAAGCTAATTTTATTTATTTATTTATTTATTGTAGTAATTTGCGATTTTGCCAAACTTCCTATTATCAATTTCATCAATTAAGTCCGAGAGAGGGTTGAGGGATTCAAAATGATTTCACTGTTAGATTTTCTTGCGGTCAGAGTCCGCTCCTCTTCTTCACCCCAGACCCTACTTCTGGACTCTAAGCCCACTGAGGCTTTGACATGCGTTAGGCCTATACGCTATGCAAAAACAATCTGATATTATTGTTATTGTATTGAACACATTTCCCTCCTTTTTTTTAACCATTCCAGTTGCAAGTTTTGGCGCTGTAGTTGCTTACGCAAGCAGGAACATCGACAGCAGATTGATGGCTTTGATGAAGATTCTGTTAAGCAAGTGCTGCGTCGTCAGTATAACGAGCTTGGACGAATGAGGTAGGCCTAAAGCGGAGGTTTGTCCCGACTATCAGCATTTCTGTTGTACGGCCGTATATAGGCACGATGTGCCTATGATCATGCTGTGATGTCATCATAACCATATTAAGGCATGTCACATGTTTTTATCAAATAAAATTTGATAGTCTTTGATTTATTGCTTCTCAACGCTTCTCAGTCGCCCCCGCTACGGTGAAGTAGTTAAAAATCACCTAAAATCAATTTATTTTGCGAATTAGCTCCCCTTGACTGATCATCGAGCCCCCTCCCCC